TGGCGCCCCACAGAGAAGAAGGCCTGTTGAACAGAGCCGCAAAAATGAGTTTCGCTCCTATGATGAGCTATTAGTGCACATCCCAAAAGATCACAAACCTGGTACTTTTCCCAAAGCGCTGTCGATTGAGAGTCTGACTCTGGCCAATAAGGAACACGGAAACTGGAAGGTTCTGGATTCAGAGCCGCAGCCATTTAAATGCAGGAAAGTTGGCGGAAGAGAAGTTCGTCCCGTGACGCGCTGCTGTCCTAGGGGAAGCAGGATCAGCGTGTATGATAACGTGCCCGGCTCGCATCTGTATGCAAGCACAGGGGACTTGTTGGACCTCGAGAAGGAGGATATATTCCCACATTTGGATGATATACTGCAGCATGTCAATGGCCTGCAGCAGATCGTGGACCACTGGTCTAAAAATGTGCTACCTGAGAGCGAAGGGGAGGGGGATGGTGGCAGGGGGCAGGACAAGAGGATGATTGACGGCCAGTCCTCCAGTCAGATCACACTGGACTTTGAGGGGACCTCTGTTATTGAAGGCCTGACCACACCGAGTGACGGCAACAGGGACGGGGTTTCGTTAAATGACACAGACACCTCCAGCACTAGAGAGAGGAGGGACTCAGGCGTCGGAGCTTCTCTTACACGACCACGGTGAGACTTTATGATGCATATGCTTAAACTTGACATTTGTTTTTGTCTTGTTTCCTAGTCTAAATATCTAAAAAATCTTATATAAAGAAGCAATTTCTAGACAAGTAAAACAATTGTTACTTTACAGTAAGGTTTGAGTGTTGGGTAAGATACTTTTAAAAAGTAATAGATTACAAATTACTGACTACTACTGGAAAATTTTAATCTGTTTACATTACTAATTACTTAAAGAAAAATGTAATCAGATAACTAATTACTTTACTTTGAAGTTACTTTTGAAACATAAAATATACCTATAAAAATACAAAATAAGCTGCAGCTCTTTCAGTAATCTAATATTCACTGAAAACATTCAAATGAGTTGATCACAGCAGCTTGACATATATAAAAGACTTAAAGACCAAAACTTAAAAATCTTTCATCATGCACTTCTTCCATAGCTGTTTTTTTTTTCACACAAATGAAGAACTGGATACCTGTAATCATTGACATTCATAGTATCAGGGCCGTGCAGAGACTTTTCGAGGGGCAAGTGCTCAAAGTGAAGACCAGGGGGAGGTGGTGAGTGATTTCGAAGTGAATAAACGGGTAAGGGGTTTGTTACGCCAAATAACGAACTTTCTCTCGCAAAAGACGCGATATGTGAACAGCTCCAAAAGTAGCTATTCATCTTTTTAACATTTAGAAGATACCTTTACACCCGATCCTGCACAAATTTGATTTAGCCTGTTTAGGACAGCAGTGTTTTTGTGCGCCCTTGATGAGGAGTAGAACCATAGAATGCTTTCTATTAAAGTGCTTGAACAAGCTGCTGGTCAAGTTAAAAGACTGGATATAGACTGCATTTCACAGCAATACTATTGCTGTAACACTCGAAGAAATCAAAGTAATGTCTGTATTTCCACTTGAAAACTTTTTTTCTTTTTGCAAAAAATAAAACAAAATGTTTTTTCTTTGTCAAGAAAATGCTTCTTGATTCGAATGTTTTGATATTTTGACTAGAAACAAGGCAAAAACTTCCAAGTAAAAAGATGATTTTTTGCAGTGCAGAGGACGTAATGTAATGTGTATTTATATAGCGCATTTGTTGTATATGGCCATATACCCAAAGCGATTCACAATCAGGAGGGGGGTCTCTTTGCACCACCACCAATGTGCAGCATCCACTTTGATGACGCGAGAGCAGTCACAGGACAACGGCGCCAGTGCACTCACCACACACCAGCTATTGGTGGAGTGAAGAGACAGTGATAGAGCCAATTCGGTGAATGGGGATGATCGGGAGCCCATAATTGTAACGGCCGATAGAGGGACTTTGGCCAGGACAGCGGGGATTGTTTAATTATTCAGATTGTGATTGTTCATTTAAAAATATAAAAAATTCTGTTATCTTTTCTTCACCATCTACTCTTTCAAAACCCGTATTCGTTTATTTCTTCTGCTGAACACAGAAGAGTATATTGACAAATATTGGTACCCCAGACATAGTAGGACAGTTTTCCTACTATGAAAGTCAGTGGGCTCTGTCAGCTGCTTGCTTACCAGCATTTTTCAAATTATCAAGTTTTGTGTTCAACAGAAGAAAGAAATACTTTTATATTGGGTGAACTAAATCTCACATAAGCCATAAACCTTCACACAGCTTCTAATATACAAGTGATGTATGCACCTAATTTTGTGCATTTACTGTTTATGAGATTTTTAAGAAGTCATGATGATGAATAATTGGATTTTTATTCATATTCTTGCTTTTGTTACCTTTTACAGGCTTAGATGGCCGAGCTTCAGGATGTCAAACCTGCTCAGCCAATCCGGAATCTCGCTACAAATATCTAGCCAATCGGTGGGCCAGCTTAGCCTGCTGCAGAAGTTCTCTTTATTGCGCCTCACTGCGATCATGGAGAAATACTCCATGTCTAACAAACATGGATGGACTTGGTGAGTTACCTCCAAAATACATTTTTAAATATTTGCTTTAATCCAACGTAGAATTGCTTTGCTTGTTCAGTTAATGTAAAACCGTGCAGTAAGAAAAAGCATGATTCTGATCTATGCAAAATTTGCCATCAAGATGTCAGAATTATGACATATAATATCAGATCTCAGTCATATGGCCAAAAATAAATGCTAAATTTACAGTATCTTACAAATAAACTTGAAATGTTCACACATTATGTCTAAATTTGAGTGTATTGGACCTGGAAAGTGCTTGAAAGGTCTTTGAAAATTTTTTTTAACTGTATGAGAGAAAGACTAATGCAATTGTCTTTGGACCATTGGCTGTCTCTGCCAGCTTGAATCAAATGATGGGCAGTTTATCTGATTATTTAAAGAATGTTAAACTCTAGTTGAAATTTTGTAGGTTGTTATTTATTTTTGCAATATTTTGCTTGAATTTAATTGTGTTATCTTTCAATGTCTAAATATGATTGGTGACTAAAATATTAGTTTAATAAATATATCTGCTTAATAAATCTGTTTTGTTTAAATGCACCAAAATACATTGACTGTATTCACTGAGAAATGGATAAAAATATTCATTTTTACAATGGGGTGTACTCAATTATGCTGAGCACTGTATAGCTTCACTTTTGGACTACTGCAACTCACTTTATATAGGTATTGGTCAATCCTATGTAAATCGCCTACAAGTGGTCCAAAAAGCAGCTGCTAGACTTCAATAATAAAAAATTGGAGAAATTCAAGAAATAAACAGTAATTTAATGTCCTGCTACATATGTTATTCGTTATTTAATATAACCACAATTTATATCATTATAATGATAATCGTGTTTATATAAACACTATAAATGAGGACTTCTCTCCTCCTCAATCCCCGGGTCTGAATGCAGACACAGTGGAAAGCAGTGAAGCAGCTCTCTTGTCCTGTCTATTCCACCCACATGCCTTGCCGGTAATCTGGAGGATTTTAAACATAGGTGAACACAGCAGCACCAGATAGGCGATGTGTAAATAGGAACGAACCCAACTGATAAAAGACAGTACACCATTCTTCAATTCCCGTACAGCTCTCCCAACAAAAATGCTTTGCTGTATCAACCCTGACAGCATTGTGGGGAAAAACATGCAACAAACCCCCTGGATCATAGAAAAAAACACATACTACCCTTCATAAACGGTAGATACTGCATGCCGTATACAGAGTCTGTAGACGCAGTCTTAACCAGTCATTGGATCTCACAGCTTGGCAGGTCTGCTTTGCTTTCGGAAAGCACATGCAGTCATGAATAATTAAGAAGCAGGCACTTCTCAAAGGATAAGAAAACTCCACTATGTATAATAATGAGAAATCGACTCGTCATCACTCTACTAGCACATTCGCACTACATCACCAATTTTGATCCCACCCCAAAAAAGTATTTTAAACCCAGAAGATGAAATTAGCTGACAAAAGCTCAAAATTATCCAGTTTTACCCACAATTAAAGCTGACAGGTGTTAACAGCTTCTCTTAACTGATGCACAAATCAGTTAAATCTAAAAAAAAAAAAAAAAAAAGTACTCAAGGGTTTCTTGAACCTTTAAGGTTTTAAATAGTCTGGCACCTTATCTGTCTGAACTTGTGACTTTTAACATATCTGCTAGATCAGTGGTTCTCAAACATTTTTCATCAAGTACCACCTCAGAAAAAACTTGTCTCTCCAAGTACCACCAACATGAGCAGTATTGAAATACAGTAGCGCAGTAGGCCCAGTAAAGCAGCTACAACTCTGCACAGTTAAAAAACGTGGCAGATTACATCAGAAATATAGGTTATATGTCATATATGACATATTATATACATCATTTTTGATCAATTTTGAAATGTGTGTAGCATGTACATGACATATTTCATTCCTCCGCGTACCACTAGAAGGAAGCCTGCGTACCACTAGTGGTACACGTACCACACTTTGAGAACCACTGTGCTAGATGTTTAAGGTCATCAAGTCAGAAATTGTTAAAAGTTCCTAAATTAAAGTTGAAGAAAAAGGGAGACTGGGCCTTTTCCATTGGGCCCAAAATTGTGGAACAGTCTACCTCTCTCTATTCGAATAATCTCTTCTGAATCTGTGTTCAAGGGGAAACTAAAACTTCACCATTAGGAGAAAAGACTTTTAATACCCGAGTTATCTGACTTGCTGATTTCTGTTTCATGTTGTATGTATTGCATGATGTCCTTTTGGTCTCATCTGATCATTTTTAACAAATGTGTACAGCACAATGGTCAACAATCGTTGCTATATTGCACTTTGTAAATAAATTAAGTCTAAGTGTGAAAAAGATACTTATTTTAACTATTTATTTATTTTTTATTTTTTAATTATGCCAACCTGGTGCTCAAAAAACCTTTCTTTATATTAAACTGTTTTTTGGCATCATGGTGGGGCAATCGCTTCACAGCAAGAAGGTCGCTGGTTCGAGCCCTGGCTGGGTCAGTTGGCTTTTCTGTGTGGAGTTTGCATGTTTTCACCGTGCTCGTGTGGGTGTTCTCTGAGTAAACAGTTTTTTACTCCTTAATATTTTTTTTGTACATTCTGTGATTTCTTTGATTAAGAAAGTTTAAACAGAACAGTCTTTAAATAGTCATCATTACATAAATAGACGTCTTTAATGTCATTTTTGATCAGTTAAATGCATCACACTTATTCAGATGTAGTTTTCAAGGGATTTCTGAAGCAATAAGATGAGTCAGTCCTGGAAAGTCCCCGTGGGAGGCGATTGGGAGTTTTATTTGCTCTTATTGAATAACATTGATCAAAGAATCTCCTCGGTCAAGCAAGGTTATGAAATAATCTCATCTTATGATCGAAATAATACTTCTGCCATCCAGCTCTGTGCATTCTTCCAGTTACACTCCATCCTGTATTATACAATTATGATTATAAACTAATCTCCTCGTTTGTGTTCTTAGGTCAGTGCCAAAATTCATGAAGAGAATAAAGGGACCAGACTACAAGGATAAGACTGTTTTTGGCGTTCCTCTGATCGTACATGTCCAGCGGTATGGACATCCTCTGCCCATGTGCTTACAGCTCGCCCTGCGCTTTTTGAGAAGCCAGTGTTTAGACCAGGTACACGGTTTCATTCACATTTCACTGATTACAAGATTTAGTTTTTGTGTGGAGTCACTGCTTCACTCATAAAGACTGCATAGTGTTGGATTTCTGCCCTGTATGTTGATCTCTTAATAAGATCAAGCAAAAAAAAAAAAAGGTCTGTTGTTCATTGTTGATAGTGTAGTGATGTATGAAGCAGCATTCACACTATAAGGTCACTTTCAAACTATGCAGATTATGGGATGCCAACAATTGTTTGCCCTTGTATTAAGGGCAGGGCCAGACTTAGTGATTTGCGGGCCCGAAGCAATTCCAGATATGGGGCCCTTGCATTTAAACTCAAAACACGTTTTTTCTAGATTTTTTTCTCTGTAGATTCGTTTTTTTTTTTTTAAATAAACAGCATGTAAAAAATATATTTTAGGTGGAAGCTTTTTCTTCTTAATGTAAAATTAAATACAATAAATTCACAAATGAAAAAAAAAACAAGTTCACAAACTAACCATATGTACAGTTTATTAGCCGTATTTGTGATTAGATTTTAATATCTGTATGTGCATTACGAAAGGAACGTTCCACTTTTCATGGGGGCCCTGGTTTTTTAAAAGAAGTAATAACTTTAAAATCCTAATGGTTTTAGACAAATTTTACAACATATGACAGAAAATTTACAAAAGAGCCATATGATTAATTTAGGCAATTCTTGGCACTGGTTGGGGGCCCCTAATTCCCTGGGGTCCTTAGCGGCTGTTTACCTTGCTTACTAGTTAAGTCTGTCCCTGATTAAGGGAACTTTGATTAAAAACAATGAACAAACTATGGTGACATCATTATAATCTAATTTTATAAAGGTTTGTTGTGGCTGGTAAACTACTACTGGTCAACTGTAATGGTAATGTGATGGACGCTGGACAACAGAGGTGCGGATCCAAAGCAGGGTTTATTCATGAATGGTCAGGCAGGCAACGCTTAACAGGGTCAAACAGATGTATAGAGGCAATCTAGAGTCGTGGTCATTACAGTTTTTCCTCAGTCGCTTTGGTGCATTTCTCACAACACTATTTAGATTTGCACAAGAGGTCATGCATTTCTCAAAACAATTAGTCATTTGTGCACATCCTAGTAACAGTTTCTCTTCCTTTCAGCAAATTGTAAATGCTTTTGGACATGCATTAATTGCTTTCATACAACTCTCTGCTGTTTATAACATTATCACTTGCTTCTGTCATGTTAGTCAAAATTAACTAAACTTGTAAATGCCAAATAGTCATTCCATATAAAACTACAGTTTTTCTCGATTGCTTGGATGCAGTTGTCAACTGAAACTCCACATTTTCAAAACAGTTAACACACAGGCCTAAACTGCGGCACTCATGGTCAAAATGACACATTTTGCTTGCAAAAGGCACATATCATGTCAAAACATTTAACATATGCAACAAAAGCTAGTTTTACCTTCAAACAACACAACTTGCAAACAAGTATATGAGCTCTTTCAATTAATCATTACACAATGCACAACACAATACAAAATACAGAACTCAAAATGCACCACCATTGTTTGCCATTGTAGCTTATAGCCAATAGCATTTGTTGTCTCTATTTGGGCTGTCAAATTCGCCTTTTTGCAAAGAATTGGATCAAGAATAAGATGTGCTTTGATTGAATATATATTGAATTCATGACATTTTTCAAACTGTGGCTGAAAACTGAAATACTGTATATAAACAAAACAGACAAAAGTAATAAAATACTGTAAATATTAGAGAAAACACATGTAAACTAATATACAGTCAAATCTATTGGGAGTATAGGACATAGCCATATTGACCTCCTCCATCAATGCTGGCACAGAACAACACAGAGCTTCCATCGTTTTTATAAGATTTGCAGACTGATTGCTAATTGAAGATTTGTGTGAAGAAGTGTCAAACCGGTGCTTCAGTGATTTCATACTGATGTTGGTAGTTTCTAATGGTTAGGAATAGATGGATTCTGTTTGGTTACCAAAACTAAAACAATGGAGTTTGGACTGCTTGAATGACATCTGTGTTAACTGTTTGGAAAAATGGTGGGGAAAATGTGTCAACCCAATGAGAAAAGGTTTACACATTTGCAAGACCGGTCCTCTGCTCTGCAGGGATAGTGATAATGAAAATGAAGAGGAACCTAGTTTCTTTAACCAGGTCAAAGCAAACAAGAAAAACTGTAATAGTCCTCATTTTATTACTTGAGTCATTACATACAAAAATGTTGAACTAGTTGTCAAAGTCTTGCAAGCTAATTTTATAAAAAAAAAATTAAATCTTTATTTTACTGAAAATGTCTTCTAAATTGAACAGTTTCATGAATGATTTACAGACCTGTGTGTGTATGTATGTTGGTTCAGTTCCAATATGTTCTGCAGTATTGTTTACAGTTGTGCACAGTTCAACCCAAAGAAAGTTTATGTTTGTCGTAAATAAGGGTGTGTTTATTCTTTTGCACAATGCTGTGAAAAAATTCAAATTGTAAAGAGCAAATGCAGATAAAATGTGAAACATACATATTCAGTGTCTTGTACTAGATACACTCAGTAAATGCAGTGATGTCTAACTTTACTGTAGTTTTTAATTGGCTGTGCTAATAGTATATAGTACTATCTTGAGCATTTTCATGAAGTTTTACCAATATCTGACTTTTTTGCATTGAAAAAATGTAGAGAGTAAACTGTGATAATGAAAACATGACTAAGCCATTTGACTATCTTGTTCATAAACAATGGTGTCAGGACTTTTCATTTTGATGATACTGACTTTTTGATTGACATGAATACTTGCTTTTGAGGAATGAACTATCCATTTTGAGCATGTGACGCGCTTTTGCAGGTTATCAGCTAAGTTTTGCAGTTTGTACTAATTGTTTTGAGAAATGCATGAACTGTTGTGCAGAAATGCACAGGTGTTGTATGAATCGCACCAAAGCGACTGAGAAAAACTGTAAACAGGCGAATGGTCAGTACAGGCAAGCAACGAAAACAAACAGAGCAAAGCAAGGGTCAAACACTGCAAGGCAAAGAAAACATGTTGTAATGTCACAAAACACATCTCAGCCACTGGTGTGTGCGTCGGTGCTGCTTTTAAAGTCAAAATAATCAGCTCATAACGATCCTCCGGCTGTGTGTGTGTGTAATCAAAGTGAAACAGGTACAGGTGTGAGTGTGTGGTGCGTGACAGGGTTTGTAGTTCTTTTGATGGCAGATTTGTAGTTCTCCAGCGATATGTATGGACTAGATTGCTGATGATTGTGACAGTAATTATGTTAACTGTCGAGTCAGTTTGTGTCAATAAACTAGCTGAAATATCCAAACTAATCCAGCGGATCTTGCATTAAAGGGTTTCTAAATTGTTATGGTATGTTAAGCTCAAACATTTAAATCAGTTCACATGTGAATGCGTATTGATGATTATTACTTTTCATTTATTAAGAAAATGGTGTCACTGTTTCATTGTGTGATTCTGCATGTCAAATAACATGACAAACGAAGCACTTATGGAATAATTTTAGCTAAGACTGTCATTCTAAAACTATGGAAATCAGATACTGTTCCACAATTTAAGACATGGTTAACTTATCTCACTCAAATATTGCACATGGAAAGAGTCCGGTATGGAGGTATTGGTAACCTTTATAGGTTTTACAATATATGGCATGGCAACCATTAGACCCGTATAATGCAGCAGTGCAAATGATTGATGAATGATTTTCATTGAAATTTAAATGCCCTGATTGTTTTTAATTATAATTTAATTTTTATTATTTTATTTTATTTACATTTTTATTATTGACATTATTTTCTTTGCATTATTATGCTTATTTCATGATTTTTCTTTTTATTGTAGTTGTTCTGTTAAATATTGAAAAATGTAGAATTAATAAAACACTTGTTAAAAAAAGTAGCATGACAAATAGTTTTTCAGCTAACAAATACAGTATATATATATATATATATCACATATATAATTGTCATATGTTGACACAAATCCACATTTGTTATACACACTCACAAAAAAAATCCAATTTTAAAAAACATCAAATGAAGAATAGAAATAATTACAACACTTTGATTCCATGATTGTTTTCTCAGAACTGTCATTTTGTGCATTTATTTAGTTATTAAGAAGTACAGCGCATATTTACAAGCAACACTTTTTGGGATGTTCACTAGCAAAATACCATTTCAAGCTCTTTTAAAAAAAAAAAAAATTCTTACCAAAAATGACTTCCTAATAAATGTATCAGAGCCTTAAATTATTAGTTCACCCAAAAATTACAATTCTGTTTTTCACCCTCATATTGTTCCCGAGACCTTTGCTCATCTTTAGAGCACAAATTAAAATATTTTAGATGAAATCCAAGAGCTCAAAGTCCAGAAAATGATCAAAAAACATTGTCAAAACACTCCATGTGACTACAGTTGTCTGACTATAATCATACGAAGCTCCAAGAACTATTTTGTGCACCAAAAATCTGTAAAAATTGTTTTGTTAACCAATGTCTTCTCTTCCTTGTCAGGGTATGTGTTTACTCAGCAATGCAACACGTAAATGTCATATTTCCAGTAGCAAATGCACCCTAATCTAACGTGGAAGACAAAGTTTTTACTGTTTTATTGGCACAGAAATGTATTCTTGGGGCTTCGTATGATTACAGTTTAACCACTGAAGTCACATAGAATGCTTTGAACCTCTTGGCACCACTGCTGTCTACGTCTATTTCATATAAAATTCTAAATTTGTATTCCTAAGATGACTAAAAGTCTCAGAGGGCTGGAACGGCATGAGGATGAGTGATTAATAACAGAATTATTTTTTTTTAAGTGAACTAACCCTTTAAGTTTAAATTTTTGGGAAATTTTTCCAAGCAATTTTCTTAAAAATGTGTGTATGTTTTTCTCTTTACAGGTGGGACTTTTCCGTAAATCTGGTGTAAAGTCTCGTATCCAGGCTCTCAGGCAAATGTGTGAAACCTCCCCTGAAAATGTGAACTATGATGATCAGTCTGCGTATGACGTGGCGGACATGGTCAAACAGTTCTTCAGAGACTTACCTGAGCCACTTCTCACAAGCAAAATGGGCGAAACCTTCCTTCATATATACCAGTGTAAGAGCAGCTCCTGTGTTCAAAAAATATTACATAACCAAGGTGTCCATGGGGTCTTAAAAATCTTACATTTCATAAACAGCATTTTAGGCCTTAAAAAGTTTTAAATTCACTGAAATATGATCTTAATAGGGTCTTAAATCATTTTAAACAGCTCAATATTTTTGTCCATGTAAAGCTACTCAATCTGTACAACCAACAATCCATCTTAAAAAAAACTTTAACAAAAGTTACATTTATTAACTCTATTTACCAATTTGGTTAAATTGTCTTTGTAAAAATAACATTTGTTAATAAGCATGTGCTTGAATTTTAATGAAGCAAGTAAAAATATTAGAAAAAACCCTTAGCGTTTTGCCTTGTAAGTCTGAAATTTCATTCATAAAGCCCTTAAAAAGGATCACGGTTGGTAAAACCTACAGAAACCATGATAAAACACTTTCAGATCCCTAACATACTGGTTTGTCTACACAGATGTCCCTAAAGAGCAACGCTTACAAGCTGTGCAGGCAGCAATCATGCTGATGGCGGATGAAAACCGTGAGGTCCTGCAGACTCTGCTGTGCTTCCTAAATGATGTCACTTCCTCAGTTGAGGAGAACCAGATGACCCCGATGAACCTGGCCGTGTGCCTCGCTCCATCGCTTTTCCACCTCAACATCATGAAGAATGATAACCTGTCGCCCAGGTAACGGAGCTCTTTTTTTAGCTCATTCCAACCATGCTTGGAAACTAGTGCTTCATTTAAGGGGTCATGAAATGCCTATTTGTTTATTTGGCAATGTTCTCTGAAGTCCACTTATTATGTTATCAAGATACATCATTTTTTTTTAGAAGTAATAGGTTATTTTTTAACCCCTTCAAAAGAACAAACTCTTTGAAATGTTGTAATAGATAAGATTTTATCTTATATATAATAATTAAGATTTTTAAGTAATTGCCCATGATTGACTAAATGTTTTGCATATTTAAAAAAAAATGTTGATTTGATTTTAGGTCTGTGCAATATGAGGATATATGTTTGGAAAAAATAAAAAGTCTACAGTTTTATATTATGCTTTTTAACTTATTTTGTGGTGCCACAAAATTCATTGTTTATTTTCATACTTTTTCATGATCTATATAAACGCAATATTACATGACGTTACTGGAATGCAGACAGAAACAAAAGTACAATGTTTACGAATGAAACAAAAGTACAGTGTTTACAAATGAAACAATAAAAAAAGTACAATGTTTACAAATGAAACAATCAAACAAAAGTACAATAATTACGAATGAAACAAAAGTACAATGTTTACAAATGAAGCAATCTAACAAAGTACAATGTTTTCAAATAAAACAATTAAACAAAATATAATGTTTACAAATGAAACAATGAAACAAAAGTACAATCTTTAAATTTAGATTTTTATGTAGTGATATATTTTTTTATATGTTGGACCTGTAATCATTAATTTAAAAAGTGTTTTATATTTGATTAATATTGATTTTATTTCTTAACATTTTTATCCAAACATTTGCCCTGAAGTTAATATTATGAGAAATATGATTAAATATGAATGAGAACATTTCTGAGTAAAAAAGAAATAGTCCTTTATATATGGTCAATATATATAAACTATTAATTGATTGAATTTACAGAAATGTTACTATATCATGATATATATGTAACCCACCGGTCCTACTGCACCCAACTAGCTCTGAGCTGCGATCAAACCGGTGATTCTTTCCATGGGAGTTGGTTGCTCTAACAAGGAGGCCAAAGACTTTGACCTCTAGCGTCTGTCGTTAGAGAACCTTTTGAAATCAAAGGAGTGAGGTTTGCCTGCATAGCACTTCGCTAGCTGGCCTCAGTTACACTCACCCCCTTAAACCTCACTCCCATCCCAGATGAGCCCCCACATGTAACCTACCGGTCCTACTGCATCCAACCTGCTCTGAGCTGGGATCGAACTGGCGAATCTTTGTATGGGAGTCAGTTGTCTAGAGCACTTTTTGAGGTGAGAGGAGTGAGGTTTACCTGCATAACACTTTACTAGCTAACCTCCGTTACATATATCAGTGTCAGGGTATAGCATGGCATGAGATTTTTGCCATAAATCACCCATCGTTACTTTTCTTCTAAGATAAGGTGCCAAAGTGTTGGTGTAAATTTCTACATCTATGTTTGCCAGCCAACATTCCTATAGTCACTGATGGGTTGTTTGTAAATGAATCCTCAGTAAAATTAAGTAGAAAAAACCCAAGTTCTCAATAAAAATCAAGTTCATCCACTTTTTTATAACAAAAGAAAGTGCCAACCATAGATTAAAATCTATGTTGATCCTGGAACAACATTCCAATCAGCCAATCAGAATTAAGGCATACGTTTACCCTTTATGTTAAGTTTAGTCTTATGGGTTGGGTTATAGATTTATGCACTTCAATATGATTGTTATCCAACTATTATTTCCCTCTGATTTTGGGAATAATTGGGGTTGGGTTTGGGGTAGGGATTGGGTACATTTTAAAACAAAAATGATGTTCCAGGATCAACATAGATGTTAATCCAGGATCGCATCGTACTTGGCAAAATCATGATGTGCCAGAAGGAAGATGAAACATTCTACTTTTTAATTTGTTGTCATCAGAGCATCTTTATTATTTGGTTTCTATGTAAAAGTGTGTTTGCCTCTTCTTATTTACCTACTGAAGCACGATTCAGTAGGTGGAGCTTAACAGGAAGTGATGTAGTAGCGGGTGTTGATCTTTTTCAATGGAGGCAACATTGTCACGTAATAAAAAACCACATTTCCCAGCCTGTCATTTCACTTTTTCACTCATTTCTTAGATTAATAAGTTTTAAAAATGAATGGATGTTTTGTAGTACACTGACATCTTGTAATGAGACTTTAAAGTGTTTGAACTATAGGATTAAGCCTGTGCTTTGTCATTATGACTCCAGGGCCGTGAGGTATCGTGAGAAGGTGTGAAGTGTTTTATTAACTCAGTGTACAAACAACTCCCCCATCACTGTGTTCATTAGGGAGCTGGACATGCAGCAGACACGCTGCCCTGAGGGCTAGAGACAGGAGGAGGTGTGGAGAGCTTTTAATAAAGGGGGCTGTTTAGCTTTACCTCAGACATACACAGGCTGGCCGGAGGGCTGGAGGCATCACAGGAATCATCAGATGTTCTGTAGTTTGTGAATGTATAAAATGTGCATTGAGAGATTTTTCATTGGTTTGATCTCACAGAGTTTCTGTGTTTGTTTATAATGCACAAATCAAGTACTTAAGTAAAAGTGCTCCTTTTTATTTTACTTGAGTGAAAGTACTTGATTTTTATGTACTTAATTGTTAAAATTATTAGGCATTACTGACTGATGTTTATTTACCAATACGACAGTTAGGTCACAATGAAAATAATTTAATTCTGCAAACAAGTAAAAATATTCAAATATACCATGCAGTCTACTATTTATAATGATTTTTATATTTAAGTATTAAAATTAAAATAATAACTGATTAATGTTTATTTAGCATAACAACATTTAAGTATTGCTAATGATGCTAATAGGAGAGGCAGTGGCGCAGTAGGTAGTGCTGTCGCCTCATTGAAGAAGGTCACTGGGTCGCTGGTTCGAACCTAGGCTCAGTTGGCGTTTCTGTGTGGAGTTTGCATGTTCTCCCTGCCTTCGCGTGGGTTTCCTCCAGGTGCTCCGGTTTCCCCCACAGTCCAAAGACATGCGGTACAGGTGAATTAGGAAGGCTAAATTGTCTGTAGTGTATGAGTGTGTGTGTGAATGTGTGTGGATGTTTCCCAGAGATGGGTTGCGACCGGAAGGGCATCAGCTGCGTAAAAACTTGCTGGATAAGTTGGCGGTTCATTCCGCTGTGGCGACCCCGGATTAATAAAGGGACTAAGCCGACAAGAAAATGAATGAATGAATAATGATGCTAATAATTGTGCAAAAACATACCATACAATATAATATATAAAAATATGTTATTAAGAAAAAATATTTTATTAAGTTTGTAAATGTGTGTTGACTAACACAAAAAGCAGATGTTACATAGTGCAAAATCTGGCAGCATTTTAATGGATATGCTATATAACTAGAGATCAGCTCTGACTGGATTTGAGTGAATCATTATGTGAAAAATCTCTTTGACTGGATTATTTGATTGGGTGAATCATTACCTGAAGATTGGCTCTGATTGGATCAGTTGATTCAGTGAATCACTAATTGGAGATTCACTCTGACTGAATCATTTGAATCAGCGAGTTATCAATTTTAGATTTGCGGTGCATTCAAAAAAAAAAAAACGTATCTACAAACCCTTCCAAATTGAGGTACTTGAAACTGGCCTCTTTAAAGGGGCCTTTGGAATGAAGAGTTTTGAAGGTTACAATTTTTGAACATTTCAAGCCATCATCATTCAAGCAAAAAAGTTGTTTGATGTCACACATTGTGTTCAATTTGGAAGGGCTCATTCCTATTGCATGTTCTAATATTTTCAAGGAGATCTTTCATAATGATGAGTCCTTCCAAATGGAACCCAGTGTTGCTCTGACTGGATCATTTGAATCTTTGAAACGTTAACTGGATTCTCTCTCTGAGCTGATCATTTGAATCAGTGAATTGTACACAGGGGATTGACTCTGACTTGATCATTTGATTCAGTGAATCATTAACTGAATACTGGATCTGAGCAGATCATTTGAATCAGTGAGTTGTTGTTTTTTTATGTAAATTAGTAGAGAATTTGATCATTTGAATCAGTGAATTATTCACTGGAGATTGACTCTGACTTGATCATTTGAGGCAGTGAATTGTTGACTGGAGACTTTCCAGCTTGTTCAGCATTATCATGTCTCAAAATGATTGACAGTTTCTCCAGTTCAAGATTACCATGAACTACATGTTTGTTTGTTTTTAATGAAATGTAGAGCAGTATAAATATTACGTTTTGGTATGCAATTCTAAAACAAAATACTCAATACTCAAAGTACAGATTGCTGGAAAAATATTGGTACTGTATTAAAGTAAAAAAAAGATGAAGATCATGTCCATAATGCCCTCTAATGTTTTCAGGTCTATTCAAAGGAAGTATGCCACTGGGCGGCCAGACCAAAAGGACCTGAATGAGAACCTTGCAGCCACTCAGGGTCTAGCGCACATGATTGCTGAGTGTAATCACCTGTTTGAGGTATGAGACACATGTTCTGTTTGCAATAAGATCTGCATGCCATGAGAAATTTGTGATTTTATGCAAGAGCCTGCACTGAAAAAAATCATTCATTGGATTCACAATTTGTTTTAAGTTAAGGGTTTGCAAACAATTTACATGGGCTGAATTTGAACATGCAAATTAAGTCGAACATTACTAAAATCAATTTGTTTGTCACAGTGCCTGATTAATAAAGGGACTAAGCCGAAAAGAAATTGAATGAATAAATGAATGAATGATGAATGAATGAATTGTGGGTTTGTGCAGATTCCTCAGGAGATGGTGTCTCAGTCCAGGAACTCATACATGGAGGCTGAGCTGCTGGCGCCCTCTATAGACGAGCTGTGTAAAAAACAGCCTCAGCTGGACGAGGAGGAGGAGGAAGAAGAAGAAGAGGAAGGCACGTGTCGCTCTTTTCTGGACAGCCTGATTCAGAATCTGATGAGGGAGAGCAAAGACAAGACCAAAGGCTGGGTGACCCGATCAAACATCGACAACGCTGAGCTCTCTTTTAAAAAGGTCAGAAGAAATATTATATACTGAAGTTAAATACTTTTGTTTTGTTTTCGTTTGAATGCTTACTTTATAGTAATATATAGTGTTACATAAAATTATACTACACATAAAAAACTACACATAATTTGTGTCATATGGATTATATAATTTAAATGCTTATTTAACTATTTTAATAATAATCTTAAATGTTAACATTTATTCATTAAACTCTTGTAAATATGGAAGAAAATGTTTTTAAACATTTTCTTTATAATAATATCAAGTGTTAGTTTAATAAAACTATACTACATTGTTAAACACTTTCATTCATTCATTCATTCTATATTATAACAATGTCCTGTATTGTCCATTATTTGCTATAATAATAATAATAATTATAATTTTTTTTTAACATTATTGTTATCATCATTGTATTATTATTATTATTAGTAGTAGTAGTAACATACAACATTTAAACATTTGATTTATTCATTTATGTTATATGGAATAATGTTTTTTAAAAATATTTAGTTCCTTAAAAGTAGTTCCATAAAATTTTACTCCACATTTAAACACTTCATTCATTCATTCATTCATTCATTCACTCACTCTATAATATACAAATTCAAAACAAAATCCTGAAATATCCAGCTATAGTAATAATAATAATAATAATAATTATTATTATTATTATTGATGTTATCATAATTATTAGTAGTAGTAGTAGTATTAGTAGTCACATAAAAAAATATTTGAATATTTGAAATATTTTCATTTTAATAATTTTAATTTAGTTTCAAAAATGTTAATATCAATTAGTTCCATAAAATGCTTTCATACATTCATTCATTCATTCATTCATTTATTCATTCATTCATTCAATTATTTATTCATGTTATATGGAATATACAGTATATTATAATAATGTCCAGTAGCAAAATCCAGTAATATCTAGCATTAGCTATAATAATAAAAATTATGTTTATTAATAGTAGTAGTAGTAGTAGTTGTTGTTATAATTATAATGATATTAATATTAATATTAATACTAGTAATGTGAAAAAGTGATTTCGATCAGCTCTGACACTTCTGCCCAATAAAAGTCCACCAGCCCCTGCAGTAAATGAGCCTGAGTGCAGTGTGTTGTCCTCAGGTTGGAGACGGGACGCCGTTGAGGCGCTGGAGAGTGTCTGCCGAGGTGGAGGCTCCTCCGTCAGTGGTGCTGAACCGGATTCTGAGAGAGCGCCACCTGTGGGACACTGACCTGCTGCAGTGGAAGCTTCTGGAGACTCTGGACAAGCAGACTGAGGTTTATCAGTATGAGCTGAAGAGCATGGCTCCGCATCCCAGCAGAGACTTTGTGGTGCTTAGGTCAGTGCAAACTACCTTTACAATTTCTCAATCAACTCAATCAGCTGCTCTGCAGAATTAGACCCCGTTTACACTAATGCGTTTTCGTTTTAAAACGCATAAGTTTTGCTACGGTTACACCATCCGTCCACATTACGCCGGAGTTTTCGAGCGCCGAAAACGGAGCGTTTCGAAAACGCTGGAGAGGCCGTTATTAATTATAAAATTAATTTGATAATTAATTTTATTTGCATTATTGCTGTTTATATTTTATTATTTCTCTTGTTGTTTTATTGCTTTTGTTGATTGTACGGTGTCCTTGAGTTTCTAGAAAAACGCCTTTAAATAAAATGTATTATTATTATTATTATTTCATTCTGAAACGCTGCTGCTCCGTCTCAATGTGGATGAGGGAAAAACGGAGACATCTGAAAACGGATCTAATTAGGGCTTTTCCTCAATATTAAGTAGCCTAAAACACAGTTCAGTCTCGCATCCTCTCCCTGTAAGTTCAGATTTCGCAAGTTTGATATGGAAAACAGACCCTCGAGGACATGTCCGGTAAATCTTCTAAGGGAACAGTGTACTTTATAACCTTATTCACATCATCCTGGCTATGTTGTTTCACTTTCTCAACAATAAAATGAAAACATGATTTAAGGAACTGCTATTTTCAATTTGATATTAACAACTTAACAGACAGCAGAAATGCTGAGGCGTCGTGCTGCATCTTCACTGTATGCATATTTATAATAAAACAGAGCCCATATAACATCACTGCCTTCTTTCATTTTCATTGAAAATACGAAACGTATCCTCTGCTTTGCTGAATGTCGGTTTTAATAATCAATAATAGCCATTATGAAAGTATAACGCACAATAAGTTTATACATTAAAGGAAATAAAGGCAAGCGATCAGTCAATATACAGCATGTACGTGGTTCTAATAATTATTAGCTTATCTTTGCGCTCAGCCAAAACACGTTACCTGTGAACAAGTAATCGATTCAAAAGACCAAAGTTGGGGAATATGTCGTTAGATATAGACAACAAGATTAATTAAATATCACGTTTAGCAAAAATAGTGAGATTAGATCCAGCGGCAGATGCTTGATGAGCAGTCCGACCAGCACAGCTCTCATCTGGGTAGATCTGCTGCAGCGCTTGCCAGAGAGTGTGTGTGTGTGTGGTCACGTGTTGTGTGTTTTCAGCATTTTGGTGTGGACAGAGAGCAGTTTAGAAAAGCTGGGTAAAACGCGAGTTTGGACGCGGATCGTTTTCATTCTAAAACGCAGTTTTTAAACTAAAACGCACTAGTGTAAACGGGGTTCTATTTATCGTTTAGAGGCCTTTGAAACAGCACCTACTGACTGAATGTTTTTCAAACATGTTACAATTTTAAAGATGGTCAGTCAAGGAGAAGGAGAGTAACACTACTTAAACACATAAGCAAACACACAATATCAACAAGTGAGGGACAAAATACCAAGACTAACTAAATGCAATAAAGTTAGTTTATTTACAAAGGTAGTGATAATAATAAGTGCAAAAATATGTATATGACAAGAACAATAAATATTTACAAGAATATATTGAAAATTACAGACAACAAATGGGACACAAAATGTTTGACCAGATAGATGGGAGAGTTGGAGAGATGAGATGCGGGCTGCGTCCAAACAATAGAAATAAATAAAGCAAATCAATCTATTGGCCCAACCTCTACCCTAACTATCCAAAAGAAAACTATATCAGTTATTGAAAAGAAAAGCTTAACTTCTATTACGCACTACCTAACCTAATATAGTATAAGAGAAAAAACAAAAGTACAGCAGGTGGAGCACGCCTCTTACCAAAAGTGATATTTAAAGCCTATGTGTGCATAATGTATGTCGCTCGACATTCTTACCTGTCCCACTCTCCAACCTCAGATGCGCGTAACACTGATGGTAGACAAATGGAGAATAGACAAATAACAGCGGATATATACAGTACCAGTCTGTAACACACTGAAAGCGGATTACAACATCTCTCACACACACAGCACAACACAGAAATTCAAGTGTCCCGGGCCTCGCCAGTAGCGTCCTGTCACCACTTTAATTCCACGGTGGCAGCGGCTGGATTGGAGACCGTGTGGTCAGAGGGGACATGGCAAACTGCTGGACAGCGGTAGCCAATCTGAGCCACTATATGGATGGAAGCGAGAGAAGAGAGAGAGAGAAACTAGCGAAAGAAAAAAATAATAATATTCACACAACACAGGAATGTAACAAGACAATTCTCAAAATCTATTGCAAGTTGCATTGTAAGTATGTGGGTGCATAAATTATGATATGATCAAAATGCACTTGCAAATCCCGCATTATATCATTTGCATTTCCGCTTTCACGGATGCACAGTGACTGCCACATTGCAAATGAAAAATCAAAGATCATTTGCAAATGCATTTCTCTTGTGTTACAAGCTATGAGCCTGACATTTAAATTGCAGTATTAACCCTTCTGTTTTCATCCATTCTGGGGTGCTGTTGAGGCTTAATTTGCCCACAAGTGTCTCTTTGTTTCATCAAATAGAATGATATTTGGTGACAAATCCTATTTTGACACATATTTTGGAAAAATGCTTTGAATTTTTTTCCCATATGAATGGCATGAATAAAAACAGCATTTACCAATATTTTATTACAGTATATTACAGGAGTTTTCAGATATTTGCAGGTAACAGACTCCCAAATATGATCATTTTCACGGACTTGGATCCTAAAATCTTAAAAGCATCTGTTTTGGTTGATCCATCCATCTATCCAAACAAACCAACAAACCATTCATCCATCTATCCATCCATTCATCCATCCATCCATCAACACATTTTGTCATTCATTTAAATCTAAATTGTTTAATTTTTTTATCTTCTTATAAATTGTTATTAATTTGAATATAATTTTTTATTATTTATCTTGTATTATTAAAGAAACTATTAAAGAAATGAAAGAAAAAGTCAAATCAACTTTTCACTAAAACTTTTTCGCACAGAGCTGTGCATTTCAGAGGAAATATCAATATCTTCTTGGGATCTTTAACATAAAATACTTGAAAGTCCACATGAACTGGAAATCGATTTCAGTTTGTTGATGTTTACTTTCAATAGAAACTAAATATTAAACAGGTGCTTTTATTTTGTGCATTGTTTCCTCATAGTAAACTAAGGGTATTAATATGCAGTTGCTATGGAAGCCCTCAGGTTGATGTCAGCAGAAGGATGACCGCTTCAAATGTGGAAGCAAACGGTCAGATTTTAATTGTAGATGACCAAAACCTTTTTTTCCGTGGATTAATTTACACTGATTAATTGTTCACTTTAAGAATAACAATGTGGGCTAGAAAAATAAATGTTGTAAATTTTGATTTCGCACAGACTTTAAACTAGTAAATGAGGTCATCTGGGTCATTCCCACAATGCCTCAGTAAGACTACAGTTCACAGTCAGATTGCAGTGTTCTGTTGGCAGGAATAGGGGATGTCGTGTGGTGATTTCTCTGAGTGCCTCATATGATTGATTGATTGGTGTTGTTGTCCTCTGTTTAGGACGTGGAGGACGGATCTGGCGAAAGGTGTGTGTGTGCTGGTGTCGGTGTCCATCGAGCATGAGGAAAGCCCTCATCTGGCTGGAGTGAGAGCAGTGCTGATGGAGTCTCAGTATCTGCTGGAGCCCTGCGGATCGGGAAAATCCAGACTCACTCACATCTGCAGAGCTGACCTCAAGTATGTTATTAAAGACAAACACTACTAGACACACACTTGAGTATTAGTTGATTAGAATATATCTTTTGGAAAAAATAAATAAATAAAATAAAACTATATATATATATATATATATATATATATATATACTTGAGATGCCTATATAGAACATGAAAAAACACGTTTAAAGAATTTAAGTAAAATACTTTTATTTAAACCTTATACATTTAATTAGCATATATATATAGTTTGGGGTGAGAGTAATTGTTAAATGTTTTAAAATCAGCTTCTCCTGCTCACCAAGGCTCCATTTATTTCATCACAAATACAGTACAAATTGTAAAATTGTGAAATGTTTTTGCACTAAAAAATAACTGTTCAAATGTAATTTATACTTAATTTAATAATTTATTTCAGTGATTTTAAAGATTAATTTTTAGCTTCTCTTCAATCACATGATCCTTCAGAAATCACTCTTATATTAATTATTATTATTATTATTATTAATAATAATAATAATAATATTATTATTATTATTATTATTATTATTAGTGGTAATTGTAATAAAAGCAATAATGTTAATATTGCTTTTTAAAACGTGATTTTAAAACGTAAATAAATATTTAACAATTTAACTTTTTTTTTTTTTTACGTTTAATAAAGGTCGCCTTGATGAACACAATTTTCTTAAAAAAAAAAAAAAAAACTGACACCAAACTTTTGACCAGTAGTGTATACACACACAAACACGCACGCACACACAAACACACACACACACTGTAAAACATGCAGGGTTCTACACGATTCATTCATGTTGTCCTAACACAATTTCAAAAGTTAACTTAACACTTTTAACAAATTTCTGTGAATTGAACATAAAATTAAGTTGTCCCAATGAAATTTCATCAGCTCATTCAAAATAAGTAGTTTAAACAAGCAATTTATTTTGTTTATTTATACTCCAATTACTGTTTAACAAAGAGAAGATTTTTCAACACATTTCTAAACATAACAGTTTTAATAACTCATTTCTAATAACTGAGTTATTTTATCTTTGTCATGATGACAGTATATAATATTTGACTAGATATTTTTCAAAACACTTCTATACAGCTTAAAGTGACATTTAAAGGCTTAACTAGGTTAATTAGGTTAACTAGACAGGATAGTGTATTTAGGCAAGTTATTGTATAACGATGGTTTGTTCTGTAGACTATCGAATAAAAATATACCTTAAATAATTTTGACCTTAAAATGGGTTTAAAAAATGCAAAACTGCTTTTATTTCAGCCAAAATAAAACAACTGGAAGAAAAAATACTATCAGACATTCTGTGAAAATTTCTTTGCTCTGTTAAACATCATTTGGGGAATATTTAAAAAAGAAAAAAATTAAAAGGGGGCCAAATAATTCTGACTTCAACTGTATAAATAAATAAATATATCTTATATATTAAATAATATAAATTTATTGTTTAATAATCAATACAATATTAATATTTATATCAATATTTAAATACCAATAAACTACTTTTGTCACATGGTCTTTAAATTTTTTTTTTAATTATTATTTATAGTCAAATGTTATATTTGAATCGTTTTTCTGTAGATTTCATTTGAGTGTTTTAGTTGAACAGTTTTTATTATTTTTTAATTGTATATTTTTTTATTTTACATTTTATTATTTGTTTAGTTTTTTGTCATTTTTATTTATTTATTTAATTGTATTTTATATGGGTTAAAAATAAGAAATATTTTCTTGGCAAAAATAATACAAGTTTGTTTTCATTGATCTGTTTTTTTTTCTTAGTTTCATGTTTTGATTCCAAACAATACCTTTTTAGATAATAGATAATAATAGATTATTATTCCTCAATTTCATTACAAATTCCTTTTTTGTTGCAAGCAATGAATGCATGCAAGCAATGAATGCAACTTTTTAATCACCCCAAAAAATTACCTGAATGTTGTATTGATGAGTCTATTTGCTTGACGAAGACGGTGCTGACTCACACATGAGTTATAGTTTATTAGGATATATCTGATATATATGATGCCTATGTAGAAATATTAAAAAATACTTTCAAAGCATTTAAATAAAATATCTATTAAATAATATAAACATATTATTAATATTATTCTATTTTCATTCATTTTTTTAATAAAAAATACAATATTTTTTTATCAACATATAAGTACCATAAAACATGAATGTTTTTTGTTATTTGTTGCACTTAAATTGTTCAATTTATTATCACAATATTAAAGTTTTAATTAGTATGATTTTGCAGCCTTATAAAGTTTTTACTTAAAGATTTTATTTTTATTTTTTTTACATTTTATGAATTGTTTGCTTTTTGTCATTTTTATGTATTTATATTTTAGTTTTAGGGGTTAAAAAGGAGAAATATTTTCTTTTAGTTTTATTTGTGTTATTATTATTATTATTATTTTTGTTTTACTTTTTTTTGTTGTTTCTTGCTTTTGTTGTTCACTGATTTTTAGATAATTATTTTTCAATTTCATTATTTTAATGAGGCAACTCTTTATTATCAAAAAAATTAATAAAATGAAAAAATGACCTGAATTCTGTATCGATGAGTGCATTTAATTGTGGTTTCAGAGGAAAGTCTCCAGAGTGGTACAACAAAACTTTCGGCCACGTCTGTGCAAGCGAAGCCATCCGCATCCGTAACTCTTTTCAGACTCTGGATCCTGAGGGCCCCGAGACCAAAATCTGAGCTGCGGGAACTGGGATGTAGTTCAACATCAGGGCAGGTGGTCACCAAAAAATGAACTTTGGAGTAAAAAAACAGATAAAATGAACGTTTTTTTTTGTGTGTGTGTGCGTTTTTAGCCCCTAGACAACAACAAACTGCCATGTCATATTAGTTTCATGAACTGTGGATCATTTCAGAGTGTTTTACCCCTTATAGGGCATTTGATTGAGTCGGTTTATTTCCTATAAATGTATGCAGCTGTTCAAAACTGCCACTTTGAGATGGCATTTGTTGCTTGTTTTTTGGGGCATGTGATGAGACGTACAGGGGGAAAGATAAGTACTGAACACGTCATGTTTTTTTTCCTGGGAATAATATATTAAAAGGAGCTGTTGACATGGAATTAAACCAGATTTTGGTAAAAACCCTAACAATACAAACATAAAAATATGACAAATCTGAAAATTTTGTTATGTTTAATGTTTAATAACAATGAAATGACACAAGGAGAAAGTGCTGAACTACTGAAATGTATTTAATACTCTATATAAAAGGCTTTTTTGGTGATGGCCTCTCATATGGAAAATAAAGTCACATGATTTGTGTTCAGGTGTGAGTTTTACACAGACTTTAACAGAGTGTGAAAATCTTGACGGTTCTGTGGGTCTCGTCTATCAAATCTGACCTTTATTTTGTAATCTCTACTGGATTCAGATCAGGTGATTGGCTGGGCCATTCTACAGCTTGATTTTCTTTCTCTGAAAGCATTTGAGAGTTTCCTTGGCTGTGTTTTGGATCATTGTCTTGCTGAAATGTCCAGTCTGTTTTCATCTTCATTACCCTTATAATGCAGATGTTGCAGCTAATATTAATTTACAATGACGAAAGGCAGAGCGTTGCTGAAGAACTACTGAGAGATTTCAGCTGCTGTCTGGGTGTTTACTGCCTTTCTACACCTTCCTTTCTACATGCGTTCAATACTCTTTCCCTGTGTCATTTCATTTTATTACACACAACTTAATTTGTAAACTAATTAGATTTGTTTTCCTTGCATATATACATTTCTTTGGTTGCTACCAAAAAATAATTGGTAAATTTCAAGTAAACAGCACCTTTAGAAATATGAGAAAAATGGTGATGTGTTCAATACTTAATTTCCCCGCTGTAACTAAAAGATGGACAGAGAAAGTGAAAGAGACAGACTCCGATAAAGCCATGCCTGTTAAAAAAAAGCCGTAACGCTACTTCCTGTTGTCAATGTTTAGCGCAGTTTTAACTAGCTTCGCTTACAGCAAACAGATGTGAATGACGAGCAACCTCACACTAATCCAAACACAGCAGGTCTGGTTTACTTTTACCGAGCACTTCAAGCTAAAGTACTGCATTCTGCAAACAAATGTAGGTACGTTACTGTGTCTAAACATTATTTAAATCTCTGTATTTAGGTGTTATTCCTCATTTGAACAACACTAGTGTTACAGTGGCTGTTGTTTTAAATTAGGGTTGTACCCTGTTGTTGTATTGATGTGAAGTAGTTACTGAAAAGCCCATAGTATTTTTAATGTTTATCATTGTTCTCTTGATTTCTTCATCCCAGGAAAGCAATAATGTATTATCATTATTATAAATGCACCGGTTATTGTTCTCTTCCAACAATGCAAAATTATTAGATTGAAAATCAAAAGTGTAAATTATATAATGCCAATGATTGTTGCAGATATGTATTATTATTAATATTATTTTTGTCATTGTTATATGTTGCTGTGTCACTCTACAATGTCTAGGACATGAATTCATTTCACTGCTTCTGAGAAGCATGTCTATTGTATTCACAAAGCTGTACATTTGTGTGTTTGTGTGTAAATGTAGATAAATTCCAGGTTGTATATTTTGTACATAAATCAGGCTTACTGGCAGGTTAATCTGCTTTTATGCTATGTTTTTCTCCTCATCATATCAATATTTTGCTTGAAATATCATCACAGGCCAGTTTGATGGTCTGGCTTGTTCAGTGCTGTTTTGATGGGAACAGTGTGTTTGAGTTTTGACTTAAGCTCAGAGGCAGGGGGAAAGCGATGTTGTGTCTGTTTTTCAACAGTAAACAGGGTGAATGAAGTTCCAATCTTTTGGAAATGTGGAAAATAAAACCTCGGTGAGATAACTGTTGTCAATTGTTGTGTATGTTTGGCTTTGAATGTGACATTTTTATTCACAGAATTTATTCCTCAATTTTCTTCAAGGATTCGCTCATGAGGGATATTTTGGTTTTTGCAGCACAGTGAAAGGCACAGTCTGTAATTTTCAACAGCAGTGGTGGTCTTCGTTACGTCCTGTGACTCCTGCAGAGATTGTATTCATGGATGAGCTAAGGTATTCTAGAGTTATTATCATTGAAGGATGAAGTAAAGCTGAAAGCCATTGAGCGATGTAACATGAAATCAGCAGAGCTTTTATTATGCCATGGTCGACCACTGGATCCATTCGTGATCACATGGAGAAGAAGCAGGGGCAGATTTAACCAATAGGCAAGGTAAGCGGCCGCTTAGGGCCCCAGGGGCCTCAATAAATATCTGGAAGATAAATAAACTCCTATATAACATCATTTTCTATCATATTTTGTATAGTGAGAGTCAAACAAATACACTTTTACGTCAATAAATATTTTATAATATACAATAAAACATATTATTAGTGTAATTATTAATTATTAAACGTAGAAAAGAAGATTGAGTGACATAAAAAACTAGTTTTTCTCAGTTTTTCTCACAACACTAGTGCATTTCTGCACAACAGTTAATGCATTTCTCAAAATAATTAGTACAAACTGCAAAACCTAGCTGATAACCTGCAAAAGCGCGTTACATTTTCAAAATGGACAGCTCATTCCTAAAAAGCAAGTATTGATGTCAATCAAAGTGTCAGTGTCATCAAAATGAAAAGTCCTGACACCATTGTTCATGAACAAGATAGTCAAATGGCTTAGTCATGATTTCATTATGACAGTTTACTCTGTACATTTTTTCAATCCAAAAAAAGTCAGATTTTGGTGACACGTCCTGAAAATGCTCAAAACAGCACTGTATACTATTTGCACAGCCAGTTGAAAACTACAGTAAAGTTAGACATCACTGCGTTTAGTGAGGTATCTGAGTACAAGACACTGAATATGTATGTTTCACATTTTTACTGCATTTGCTCTTTGCAGTTCTAATTTATTCCCAGCATTGTGCAAAAGAATAAACACACCCTTATTTACAACAAACATAAACTCCCTTTGGGTAGAGCTGTGCACAACTGTAAACAATATTGCAGAACATATTGGAACTAAACTTACAACATTCATAGGTCTGTAAATCATTCATGTAATTGTTTAATTTTTAAGATATTTTCAGGAAAATAAAGATTAAATTTTTTTATGAAATTTGCTAGACAGATTTTGACAACTAGTTTATCATTTTTGTATGTAATGACTCAAGTAATGAAATGAGCTCTATTAGTTTTGTATAAAATGACTATTCAGCATTTACAAGTTTAGTTAATTTTGACTGACATGGCACAAGCAAATGATAATGTTATAAATAGCAGAGAGTTGTATGAAAGCTATTGATGCATGTCCAAAAGCATTTGCAATGTGTTGGAAGGAATGAGAAACTGCTACTATAAAGTGCACAGATGACTAATTGTTTTGAGAAATGCATTAACTGTTGTGCAAATGTAAATGGTGTTGTAAGAAATGCACCTAAGCCACTGAGAAAAACTGTAAATAAAAGTAGAAAGAGTGCATTTCATGACTTAGGTCCCATGGCTGGAGGCTTTGGAATTACAAAATCTCAACTTTTCTCAACAGTTTCAATAAACCATAAATACACTGTTTATATAGGCCTAGTTAAATCATGTTAACCGGTTTTGGGTCACTAACCATCATTTAATCACAATATTAAACAATCTATATGCCAAATAAATAAATCAAGACTTACAACTATAATAATTTTATTAAAAGTAATATTAATAATAATAATAATATAATAACAAAGAACAGTTGAACATTTAGGCTATTCGCAAATAATTGCAAGAAATAATTAAGCCAAAGTCCCTTTAAAGTATTATATCGTCTTTAATTAAACTTACAAATGTGTCGTCGATTACGAAAGACATTTTTTGGCATGTGCATCTTGTAAAACGCCGTCGCTACAGGTAAACATTATTTAATTGCTACACATTATTTGTACACAAAACTGGAATCAAACCAAATTCAGAAACAAACACATTTTTTAATTTTACCCAAAAACGAACAGCTAGAAACCACAAAAAAAAGAAGAAGATTCACACAGGCTAACATTGTGAAGAAGAGAAAGTGTCCGCTTCTGACCAGCAGATGGCAGTGTATAGCAACAGCACTGGGTGTGTGGCGTCGTGTGAAGGAGTGCAGGTGCGTTTACTATTAACAAACAAACTTACTAATTTAGAGGTCACGGAACTATTTATTTGCTTCTGAACGGCATGGCTAGTAATAAGCAGTGGTTTTGTTTTCTCCTGTGTCTGCAGAACCTGAGAAAGAGTCTCCAGAGAACTATTGATCCACACTATTTGAATAAGGCGTCTTTATACACAGAGGACACTCGCTGCGGCCCATACATCATCATTAGGGAGCAAGAAAGCAGTGGCATGTCTTTATCCCAAAGAAGGTCAGATTTCATAAGCATATTATCAACTACAAGCCGTCCCTTTTGATTCATTCTGAAGGCTTGTTCTCAGATGTTGCGGTTTATTATATTATAAAAAGGTTTTGTCCTTTTTTTGAAGATATGTGTACTTATCTACTACATGAATGAACGTTTTTAGATGCTAACTTGACATAAGTAGGCTACTTTGTGTTGTTTTAAAGGAACATTATCCTCAAAAGAATTCCTCACAGTTCACTCACTAAAGTGGTTCAAAAACATGAATTTCCTTCATGATTTGAACACATAACCAGAGTACTGATAAATCATACTCAACCATTACTTGCCAAAAAATGTAGTGCAAGTAGAGTAAAAGTATCTGCTGTAAATATTTAAGTAGCTCTTTTAAAAGTACTCTACAGTAGTGAGTATTACACTAAAAAGCTGGTGCATTTACATTTTCTGGATGTGTGTAAACGTAACATTCTGTAGTGCATTTAGTTATTGCCCAGCAGGCCCACAATGTCATATGACATTTATATTAGGTTATATTTAGGTTGTGATGTCAGGTGACTAAAATTCAATGTCTAGACAGCGTCTAAGGATGACGTTATTTTGACGACCATTAATGACAACAAATGATGTTGATAATTGGTTGATTTTCGGTTGAGTTGGAAAGTGACCAAAATCTAACGTCGAGCCAACATATTAAACCAATGCCATATTGACATCAAATACTTACATTTATTCATCAGGTATGGCGACCAAAGTCCAACATTTAATAGACATTATAGTGGTACGTTAAGCTGTAACAGCATTATAGGTTGATCTTTGGTTGATTTTATGTTGGACACTGACGTCGGCCTGATGTTGGGTTGTGACATCAACCCGATTTTAATTTCCAAACAAAATGCAACGCCCCATGACGTTGGGGTACAATGTCAACCTGACGTCATGTTGACCTCCTGTGCCTGGGTGTTGAAGGCCATTTCGGTCATCATACAATAAACATCCGTTCTTCTCTCATCAGAGAAAAGGAACGGCATCAAACTGCCCCGTAGCGTTAGTTTTAAAGTTGAAATGCAGCCATACAAAGCTCTAGCCACATAATTTGTGATCTCCAGAAATTTATGAAGGGCTACGTTTTCAGAATGAGCCTGTTGAAAAAACATGCGTAGTTGTGCGTAGTTTAGTTCTTTTTTTGAAAGGATCATTGTAGAGGCACACCTTTCGTGCACATCCTTATGTACCACACTTTGCAGCTTCTATTCCAACAACCAGTATTTGAAAAGACTGAATCTTCTTTAAAAAGGGTTTACTGAAGAAATTCAAACAAAAATACAGAGTTACCGTACGTTTACATCGAAAGCGGTTAGATCGTCAAAGTAGCCGGAAGTCATTCATTTTCAATGAGAGCCAGCGGCGAGGAGCAGCGCGGTGCGTCTTCGCCAGTGTGGGCATCGAGAAGAGTTGAAATCAAGTCAACTTTATGGTAATGAGCTATGGCGCGGTTCGCGGCAAGCAATCAGAATTGAAGTCCACCGCTTAATAGGAGTTTAGAGAACACAGACCTTTGAACTTTGGTTCCAACCACAGTTGTTTCCAAGGGTTTGATGATTGCGGTTGCCGGATTTTCAATTATTTACAGTGTTTTCTTACAGGAACATGCATTAAATAAGTTACTGGTGAGTTACTGATGTGCATTAATGTTATATATATTTATCTTTAAAAAGCGGGAATCTCACTCGACGTGACTTTACAAAACATTATAGCTGCTTCAGGATATTTCAGACATATGGACACATATTGGATAAACTTGACCTTCCATTGTTAAATGAATTTGATAAGAAGTGCGCAACATTTTCACGCTAGAAACAAGTTTTATGCAGGAATGATATGCCGCAACAGCTCCTTTTAATACAAAATCAATGTAGCGAGTTTTGACGCTCCCGCCGGAGCTGAAGGCAGACAGCATTGTTGTCTGGGCGGCCAGAGCAACCTTGGACGCTCTCGCCGCTTTCGGTGTGAACGCACACTTGAATCAGCTTGGTCAAAAAACTGTGTTGCTTCCAACATCAATAACTGCAATCTGCCTCAAACATATGAACTAATGACCTCATGATGTATTACTGTCGGAAGCCAAAATACCAAAGTAAAAGTTTTTCAATTGTATCAATTATTAAATTATGAATTATAGATAATACAATCACTATGAATTCTTATTATATTTAAATATCAATTTTTACTATGTTTGAACCTTTTTAACTAAATTATTATCACAAATGAATTCTGCATAACTCTTACAATCATGTCAAAGCTGGAGTAATGATGCTAAAAAATCAGGTTTAAATCACATGAATACATTTCTTTATATATATATATATATATATATATATATATATATATATATATATATATATATATATATATATATATATATATATATATATATATATATATATAATAATAAAATTGAAAAAGAGTTGCTTTAAATGTCAGTACCATTTCCT